CCCCTCCGCTGGAGCGATCACGCTCGAGGCCCCTCCGCTGGCCTCAGTGACCCCTTTAGATTTATACTGCACGGACCGGGAAAGAATTGGCACTACTTTTCTTTTTGGCTGATAATATTTATTGATACCATTGCGTCAGAGCAGGAATTTTAAAGCCAGTAGTCACAGAACAATGGAAGAAAAACAACATTCTATAAATAAAAAAAAAAGAAGATCCATAAAGAACTGAATCCACTCTGTACGGACCAGAGGTGGGTAATCTGCGGCGGTTGAGTGGCCGTAGGTCCCGGTATGCTCCTGTGCGGTGCATGCTGGGACATGGAGCCCCTCAGCAGCTCTAAACGGCTGACATAAACCATCGAGGATATCGGACACTCACTCCACCCACACTAGGGCCCAGCTCAGGAAGTAACGGTGTAAACACTGATCACATGACTATAAAGAGCGCGAGTACAGTAACAAGGCCAGGGCGTAGCACCATGTTTACAGAACGCAGACGGGACTCGAATAGCGAACGGAAGGCTGAGAAAGAGATCCCAGGGAGGGAGCGTGTCTCACCTGCGTCTGCGGCCCCTTTATTGCCGCCAAGCTACAAAATGAAGTCATGCATCACGATGGAAGGTTGTTCTCCTAGCACAGTCTCTCTCAAGTGTTTTGTGGCACTTGATGCCCTTTTTTTTTTCTTAATGGGCTGATTGGGGTTTTGGAAGATGTCACGCCAGGACGCCTGCGCACCTAGGCTGGCTGGGGTCTCCAGGAAACAAAGATGGCTTGACTGCAGAGGTCCCCCCCCTCCTCTCAGCCTCACTTGTTGGGGGAGGTTGGGGAGTGGTGCGCTCCCGGTTCCAGCATGGCCCTCCTCCTTGCCGTCTCTTTGGCTACGCTGTGATTCAGGCGCCTCAGGCGTTCCTGTGATGACAACGGAAAAGCACCGGTTAGACAATGGTCGGGGTTTGCAGCACAAAGTGGCATGGGCAGGACTGAGAGAAGCTGAAAAGGACAGTATGGGGTCCCTCCAGGATTAAGGGGAGCAAAGAAGACAGCATTGGGTCCCTTCAGTACTGAGGGGTGCTGGGAGGATAGTATAGGTTCCCTCTAGTACTGTGGATTGATTGGAGGACATCTGTTACGGGGGGTTGATGGAAGAACAGTATGGGGACCCAGTACTGAGGGGTGCAGAAAGAACAGTATGGGGTCCCTCCAAGACTAAGCGGTGCTAGGAGAACAGTATAGGGTCCATGGAGTACTGAGGGGTGCTGGGAGGACAGTATTGGTTCCCCCTAGTAATGAGGATTGATTGTACTGGAGGGACCCCATGCTGTTCTCCAATGAATCCTCATTGCTAGAAGGAACCAATACTGTCCTCCCAGCACCCCTCAGTACTCCATGGACCCCATACTGTTCTCCTAGCACCGCTTAGTTCTGGAGGGACCCCATACTGTTCTCCTAGCACTGCTTAGTTCTGGAGGGACCCCATACTGTTCTCCTAGCACCGCTTAGTTCTGGAGGGACCCCATACTGTTCTCCTAGCACCGCTTAGTTCTGGGGGGACCCCATACTGTTCTCCTAGCACCGCTTAGTTCTGGGGGGACCCCATACTGTTCTCCTAGCACCACTTAGTCTTGGAGGGACACCATACTGTTCTCCTAGCACCGCTTAGTTCTGGGGGGACCACATACTGTTCTCCTAGCACCGCTTAGTCTTGGAGGGACGCCACACTGTTCTTTCTGCACCCATCAGTCCTGGGTGAACCCCATACTGTTCTCCCATCAACCCTCTGTACTGGAGGGACCCCGTGCTGTTCTCCAGAGAGTTGATGGAGGAACCGTATGGTGTTCACTCAGGACTCAAGGGTGCAGAAAGGACAGTATGGTGTCCCTCAAAGACTAAGTGGTCCCTCAAAGACTAAGTGGTGCTAGGAGGACAGCATGGGGTTCCCTTAGGTCTGAAGGTGCATTTAGAACTGTATGGGGTCCCTCCAGGACTGAGGGATGCAGAGAGGACAGTATGGGATACCTCAAGGACTAAGGGTTGCAGAGAGGACACTATGGGGTTTATCCAGGACAGAGGGGAGCAGTATGAACTCCCTCCAGCATTGAGGGGTCCTGGGAGAGCAGTATGAAGTCCCTCCAGAAATGAAGGATGTGGAAGGGACCCTGAAAGACGTGTCACATGCCAGGTCATGTCCATTCCCTCACCTGTGCGTTCTGCAGGATATTGTTCACCAGGACGACTCTGCGCCGGGCGTTCAGCAGCTTCTTCACATACGGGTCTAAGTCCAGCGCCACCTTCTGGTCCTCGTTGATTTTGCAGAGCTCTGGAGGACGACACAAACATATGATATGAAGAACAATACTGGCTGATGTCTGGCCATATACAATGAGGACTTACTAGTACAATCCATTTCTTGGGGTGCAGTACAGGACACAGGCAGATTCAGAGACGATTGGGTAATATGCCGGTATCATCAGGTGATTGGACGCTGACCAGAGCTGGGAGAACCCTCATATAACGAAACTAGCGTCTGCAGCCCAAACCATATCTAAGCAGTGGAGGAAACCCCTTTAGGCTGTTTTGGAGCAGGACAGAAAGAGGAAAGGACAACAAGGTCCTGATGAAGGTGAAATGTGGACACCACCTTAAGCAGAAACCTTGGAGCATCACCCTGGCTGCCGCATTCCTACTGTGCAGGCAGCGGGTGAGGACCTCAGCCAATCCATAGGCAGCTGATGAACTGCCTGCGAGCCCGATGAACTGCCTGCGGTGCCTTAGGCTGAGACTCATCCGCCAGGCTGTTGCCTTACAAATGAGGGGGAAAACCAGTAACCCCTTGACTTCCCTCACTTTGGACCAGTATACCCCCTAAGGCAGGGGTAGGCATCTCCGGCCCTCCAGCTGTTGTGGAACTACAAGTCCCATGAGGCACTGCAAGACTGACAGTTAAAGGCATGTTGAGATAGAGGATTTCCCGGAGTGGGAGGGGTTCTATGAGGGTCCTCCCAGCTCTGGCCAGCGTCCAATCACCTGATACCGGCATATTACCCAGTTGTCTCTGAATCTCCCTATATTATATAGATAATACACACATGCCGATTGTCCGAGAACACAATTCATGACCCCCGAGCACCTACCTGACGCCAGGCTGTCAATGTGCTCCCGCAGGTCCACCTGACTCTCTCTGCAAAGAAAAGAGATTGCAGAGGTTAAAAGGAGAACCCCATGAGAGGTCCGACAACCCCGCTCTTCATTATTCCAGCTAGAGACTTCTCCTCACTTCCTGTCCCACCGACAGTCTATTACTCAGGGTGTTAGCAGGACAGGAAGTAAAGAGGGCAGTATGGGGTGATTCCAGGAGTCAGGGGAGTGGAAACCAGTATGGGGTCCCTATAGGACTATGGGGGGTGCAGAGAGGACAGTATGGGGTCCCTCCAACAGGACGGAAGGTGCAGAGAGGACAGTATGGGGTCCCTAGAGGACTGAGGATGCAGAGAGGTTAGTATGGGGTCCCTCCAGGACTGAGGATGCAGAGAGGTTAGTATGGGGTCCCTCTAGGTTTGATGGTGCAGACAGGACAGTATTGGGGCCCTCCAGGTCTGAGGGTGCAGAGAGGACAGTATGGGGGCCCTCTAGGTTTGAGGGTGCAGAGAGGACAGTATGGGGGCCCTCTAGGTCTGAGGGTGCAGAGAGGACAGTATGGGGGCCCTCTAGGTCTGAGAGAACAGTATGGGGTCCCTCTAGGTTTGAGGGTGCAGAGAGGTTAGTATGGGGTCCCTCTAGGTCTGAGGGTACAGAGAGGTTAGTATGGGGGCCCTCTAGGTTTGAGGGTACAGAGAGGTTAGTATGGGGTCCCTCTAGGTTTGATGGTGCAGAGAGGACAGTATTGGGGCCCTCCAGGTCTGAGGGTGCAGAGAGGACAGTATGGGGTCCCTCTAGGTTTGAGGGTGCAGAGAGGACAGTATGGGGTCCCTCTAGGTTTGAGGGTGCAGAGAGGACAGTATGGGGTCCCTCCAGGACTGAGGATGCAGAGAGGTTAGTATCCCTCTAGGTTTGATGGTGCAGAGAGGACAGTATTGGGGCCCTCCAGGTCTGAGGGTGCAGAGAGGACAGTATGGGGGCCCTCTAGGTCTGAGGGTGCAGAGAGGACAGTATGGAGTCCCTCCAGGTCTGAGGGTGCAGAGGTGGGTTTATCTATATATATGGGCCCCTCCAAGTACAGAAAGGTGGGTGGATTTAAAGATGGGGCCCCCTAGGTAGAGAATGGTGGGTCGAGTCATATATGGGGCCCTTCAAGAACAGAAAGGTGGGTGGATTCATATATGGAGACCCCCAGGTACAGAATGGTGGGCTGGACCAAAGACAGGTGGGCGGAGTCCCATTTGGAGCTCAGGCCCCACACACAGAAGGCGGAGCCAGCCCCAGGTCCGCCCCTCACCGCACGGCGTGTACATGGCAGTCCAGCTGTTGTACGGCCGGCTTCAGCAGCTCCAACAAACCCTCCGCGAACACATCCCGCCCGGGAGACACCGGAATAGCCATCTTACACCGGACCGGAAATGACATCACGCCGCCCAGTTTCGCCCCCGCACCCCGTGATAAAGGTTTCCGGGATCACCAGAGGCCGATTCTTTTACTAAATCAATTTCGCCGCCATCTTCCCTGAGCCTATTCCCCCTTCACTATGTACTTTGGGCTCCGACAACATGGCGGCTTCTACCTGACTGCACACACGGGACCGGGGACACTTCTGAGCCGAATCTACAGGAAAGGCTTGCTCTGCTGATAATCCCTGAATAGTCCTCCTACAGCTTCACGAATCACCAGACCTAAAAATTATTATTAATAGAATGACCTCTCCACCAGAGAAAGCATTTCTGTCAGTGTCCTCC